CTGACTTACAAATTATTTAATAAAATGAACTATTAAAATAATAATAATAATAATTTGAGGACTGGTTGAGGTGGCTCACGCCTATAATACCAGCACTCTGGGAGGCCGAGGCAGGTTGATTGCCCGAGCTCACAGGTTCAAGACCAGCCTCAGCCAGAGTGAGACCTCATCTCTAAAAAAGCCAGGTGTTGTGGTGGGTTCCTGTAGTCCCAGCTACTTGGGAGGCTAAAGCAAGAGAATCACTTGAGCCCAGGAGTTTGAAGTGCTGTGAGCTATGATGCCCTGGCACTCTACCGGGGGTGACAAAGTGAGACTCTGTCTCAAATAATAATAATAATAATTTGAGAAAATATTCCAGAAATAAAGGTGATGTGTTTCTAGATTCGAAGGGTCCAGTAAGGTACCTAACTCAATGGACAAAAATAGGCCCCCACTAAGGCACATCAGTAATGATATTTTAGAGCACCAAGAAGATGCTAAAAGTTCCAGAGAGGAAACAAAGAAACAGGTCACATTCTAAGGATAAAGAGTCAGAGTGACAACAATAGAAGTTGGACAATGGAATAATGCCTTTAGATTCTGAAAGATTATTTTGGCTTGGAATTCTATGGCTAGCCAAAATGTCAAATGTAAAGATAGAATAAATACATTTTATGACATATAATATCATACAAAGTTTATTTCCGGGCTTGGCACCTGTAGCTCAGTGGGTAAGCTGTGGCCATATATACCAAGGCTGGCAGGTTTGAATCCAGCCCAGGCCAGCTAAACAATGAGAACTGCAACAAAAAATAGCCAGGTGTAGTGGTGGGCACCTTTAGTCCCAGCCTTGGGAGGCGGAGGCAAGAGAATTGCTTTAAGCCCGAGAGTTTGAGGTTGCTGTGAGCTGTGATGCCACAGCACTCTACCAAGGCTGACATAGTGAGACTCTGTCTCAAAAACACAAAGTTTACTTCCAAAACATCCTTTTCCAGGAACCTAATGGAAAAGATACTTCACTAAAATAAGAGAGTAAACCAGCAAAGAAGAAGACTGAGTTTCCACTTTAAATTAGGTAAAGAGAATCTTCAGAGAACTCAAAGTAACCCTTCCATTTGATCCTACAATTCTGTTACTAGGCGTCTATCTAGAAGAAAAAAAATCATTTCATCTTAAGGATATTTGCAGTAGATTGTTTATCTCAACTCAGTTTACAATTGCCAAGATGTGGAAACAATCTAAATGCCCACCAGCCCAGGAATGGATTAATAAACTGTTATATAGGTCTATCCTGGAATACTATTCAGCCATAAAAAAGATGGAGACTTGACATCTTTGATATTAACCTGGATAGAGCTGAAACACATTCTTCTTTGTAAAATATTACAAGAATTGAAAAACAACTATCCAATGTACTCAATTCTAATATGAAGCCATTAGAGGAATTAATACACACAAGAGACAAACTCAAATTCACATAGGGAGGAGGGAGAAGGAAGAAGAGAAGAGAGGGAGGGGGGTTGGTATGCCCTCACCTAATGGGCACAATGTAAGAAGGGTATATGGCACACCTCCTGGGCACAGGACACAACCACAACAGGGACTCTACCTAACAAATGCCAGCATTGTAGCCTACTTGTTTGTACCCTCATATCAATCTGAAATTTAAAAGAAAAAAGAGAATCTTCAGTATGATGAGGTATGGATTCCATGACGTCAACTACTCAGCAGATCCAGAGAGCAAATGGCCGGAAGACAAAGATTATGCATAGGGATATTTTTGAAGGAAGTACGAGAAACTGTTAACAGTGGTTACCTTAGAAGTAAAAATGGGGGCTCGGCACCTGTGGCTCAAGTGGTTAAGGCGCCAGCCACATACACCTAAGTTGGCGGGTTCGAATCCAGCTTCGAATGACAGCTGCAACCAAAAAAATAGCCGGGCGCCTGTGGTCCCAGCTACTTGGGAGGCTGAGGCAGGAGACTCGCTTGAGCCCAGGAGTTGAAGGTTGCTGTGAGCAGTGAAGCCATGGCACTCTACCCAGGGGGATAACTTGAAGCTCTGTCTCAAAAAAAAAAAAAAAAGAAGTAAAAATGGGAAAGCCGAATTAACTTTATATTTTTATGTAATATTTGAGTCTTTCTTTTTACTTTATATTTTTATGTAATTATTTGAGTCTTCACTATAGCATGTACTACTTTGTAATTTTTTTGAAAAAATAAAATGCCTTCTCCAATGGAGCATCTCCAATGACAACAAAATTTTCCTTTTGTTCAGAACTTGCTAATAATTTGAGAAAATTTCCCAGAACTGAAGGTTATGACCTTCTAGATTCAGAGGGTCCAGTAAGGTACCCAACTCAACTTTTACTAAGAAATCTTTATGTTGGCCGGGCGCAGTGGCTCACACCTGTAATCCCAGCACTTGGGAGGCTGAGGTGAGTGGATTGCCTGAGCTCACAAGTTCGAGACCAACCTGAGCAAGAGCAAGACCCCATCTCTAAAAAATAGCTGGGCACTGTGGCCGGCACCTGTAGTCCCAGCTACCAGGCTTCGTCCTGCATTTGCTAGTGTTTCAAAGCATGAGTTAAACTTCCTTATAATTTGGTGAGAGAAGTGGAGTTAAGAGAATCCTTTGAACCCAAGAGTTTGAGGTTGCTGTGAGCTAAGATGCCACAGTACTCTACCAAGGGTGACTAAGTGAGACTTTGTCTCAAAAAAAAAACAAAAAAAGAAAAGAAATCTTTATGTCCTCTACCCAACCATCCCTAGTAAATTTAGGCTTATACTTTCTTACTATAGGAAAAAAGCTTGGGAAAGAATGTCTTTTGGGCAAGGAGCACCTGAATTCCCTCTTAGAAAATCAGCCTCCCCCCACCCCATTTCAGCGCTAGGCTTTTCATAAATGTAGGGCAAAGAATGGTTTCTTTTGGATTTGTGGGCTGCAGCAGTCCTCCTTCTGCAAGGGCCATTCCATAGAGCTTTCTTTGCTCCAAGACTTTGATTACCAATAATTAATCTCAGATGATAGATTGAGTGCTACAGGCTTCCTCTGTCTTTGACCTAGAGAACCCGCTGTGAATAGTTTGTTTGCTTGCTTGCCAGAGATCTTATCTTGATCTAGAAGAGCTAATAGGATCATAAAACCACAGTGATTTTTTTTTTTCTCAGTATTCTTTACCTATAAACTAGATATCTTAGCCCAGGATAAATGTGAGGTTTAACATATGTCAGGAGGGGGAAGGAGGAAGAGGTTAGTTGTCATTGAATAATGGCTGTATTTCATAGTAATAAAATTTAAGTAACTCTGTAGTGTGTTCTAATCCCCATGCGTTCTTTGCTCTTTCTCAATGTATTTGGATAAATCACAACACAGCAACAAGGCCAAATGTCCAAACCACCCACTTTCCTATTCCCAGCACATGAATTAGAGGGAGGCCAGCTGAAATCCGGGCCAAGCACTTAGATGACTTGGATGTCTGATTTTTGTTCCATGATATGAAACTCAAAATAAATCAAAAAGGAAAAAATTTTCCAGATACCAACTAATTCACCAGGAAACTCTTCAGCCTCTTTAGTCCTTGCACACACACAATAAACAAACCTACTGTGAATACAAACGCAATGATTTGGAGATTAAGCCCTATGGGTACAGATACTCTTTTATAGCAGTCTCACTGAACTTCTGTGTTCAGTTTTAGGCTCTAAAACTTGAGTAAAGTCTGAAGAACTATTTAGGTTCCAGAAGAAATTGTGAAAAATTTGGAAAATAAGGCCTTTGAAGAAAGGTTATAGGAGACAGAATTTGAGAATGGAAAACAATGGGATCAAAAAGAAACATGAATAGCAAACAAGGTTAGAACAAGAGGAAATTAGCATAAATGGTAGAGGACGGGATCTAGTTTCTGTGTTAAGAATAAAGCTTTTTGACTATGAAACTTGTTAAACCCCAAAATGAACAGCCAAGGGAATATTGTAGAGTCCAAGTTACAAAGAAATGAAGGCTACAGTCAGTTCACTTGGTACCTGATCGAGGGTTCTGAGATGCAGAGGTGTACAGATACAGATATTTAACAACAGTCTCTCCTGGATACCACAAATGTGATGTTCCAAGCAATTGACAGAGAAATGAAACCATTCAGCATAAATCTGGTCTCTCTGCTTGGCCATAGTACCTTACATATTTGGTTAATTTACCAGAAGAGCAATACATGCTGTTTGGAAGCAGGACATGATCCCTGTATAAAAAGGGGAGCAATGAGAATTGATAAGTCTAAAGGCTTCTAGAAAGAAATTTTTGTCTGGGCCTTGTTACCAGCTATGGAAATTTTTAGGAAGGAGAGGGAATACCTGGAGAACACACCTAAAAATGAGCAAGCATACAGTAATTTAAAGAGCGAACCAATATGGCTCGGAGCCTGTAGCTCAAGTGGCTAAGGCTCCGAGCCACATACACCAGAGCTGGCAGGTTCGAATCCAGCCCAGGCCTGCCAAACAACAATGACAACTACAACCAAAAAATAGCCAGATGTTGTGGCCTGCGCCTATAGTACCAGCTACTTGGGAGTCTGAGGCAAGAGAATCGCTTAAGCCCAGGATTTGGAGGTTGCTGTGAGCTGTGAGGCCACAGCACTCTACCCAGGGCGACAGCTTGAGGCTCTATCTCAAAAAGAATGAACAAACATACGGTAATTAAAAAGTTGTAAGAGAAGCAATTGGTTTGTATAATTAGATTGATCCAAAAATTACCCTGTGTTTATAATATACCTTTCTGTTAAGGATATAGAACACCTTCTCTTGCCAGATAAAGGCAGAATCTCTTCCTTTTATAAAAGAAATCACCCAATTATAAGGAAGTTTAAGTCACGCTTTGAAATACTAGCAAATGCAGGACGAACCCTCAAGTGTTCTCCTTTTGGCCAGTCTGTGTTCTGATGTAGAGCCGTTCTTTCTCAATATGCAGAATGTATTCTTTGCCTTGGCTTCTTTTTTAACTGCTAATCTTTATCTCTCTTGACCTGTAGCTGGGATGAGAGCAGCTCCATCAGCAGTGGGCTCAGTGATGCCTCAGACAACCTCAGCTCGGAAGAATTCAATGCCAGCTCCTCGCTCAACTCCCTTCCAACCACTCCCACTGCCTCTCGCAGAAACTCGACAATAGTGGTACGTGAGTTTGCACATACCCAGGCCACCATCTCAAGGTGAACCACAAGGCAGCTCCACAGGAATGGCTCTCGTAGGCTTCTGGTCAAGTTCTTTTAGAGCTGGCAAAAACAAAACTAAACACGAACGCTAAGGCTACCAAACAGTTACCCAAGATGTTAGATGTTGTCTTTGTGTCTATACTTAGTACCCACACCAATCTGGAGTGACACGTGTAAGAGTTCTTCCAACTGGAGAAGAAAAAAAAACCAAGAGATAGATATGATGGCTGCTGTCTGGAACCCTGAGGGTATAGGTAGAAACCTCGGGTTGACTTAATACTCTGAGATGAGTAGAGCCACCTACGAACCAAAATAAATCCCTACAAGCTGTCCATTTCCCATCCCCACATGAGTGTCTCACTCTGTCCTTGTCTCTTCTCTTTAGCTACGCACGGACTCAGAGAAGCGATCTCTGGCAGAAAGTGGACTGAGCTGGTTTAGTGAATCAGAGGAAAAGGGTCCCAAAAAACTAGAGTACGACAGTGGTAGCCTGAAGATGGAACCTGGGACTTCTAAGTGGCGGAGAGAGCGGCCCGAGAGCTGTGACGATTCATCCAAGGGTGGAGAACTGAAAAAGCCCATCAGCCTGGGACACCCTGGGTCCCTGAAGAAGGGCAAGACCCCACCAGTGGCTGTCACCTCCCCCATCACTCACACAGCTCAGAGTGCCCTCAAAGTTGCAGGTGAGCCTGGAATAAAGCAAGGGACGAGGACAAGGACCTATTTCTTTAGTTGCTTCTCTTCTTCATGGTCATAACCCATAGGATGACAGCACACATTTGCATAGTGCTTGCCTATACATTATCTTGTCTGGTCTTCAGGATACTCCTGTGAGTTAGGAAAGATGGGTATTACTATCTCCATTTTACAAATGTGAAAATAGAAAACTCAAAGAGTTGGGTAGTTCTGTGGTTCTTTAAAAATAGCACATGTTTGGGGTAGCACCCGTGGCTCAAAGGAGTAAGGCGCCAGCCCCATATGCCAGAGGTGGCAGGTTCAAACCCAGCCCTGGCCAAAAACTGCAAAAAAAAAAAAGCACATTTGTATAAGCCATTGACTTGCCATGTTCAGGAAGAGATATTTTTACTGGGTGTTCATCTTGGGCATTTCAAAAAAGACAACACTCTTCTCTATTTGGTATGTAGGTGCTGTAGTAAAATGGACATCATAGGCACTAAAACAGTTACACCTGCTAAAATAGTGAATGTTGTATATCAGAGATTTTAAAATTTGGCTTGTATAAGGATCACTGGGGAGACACTTAAAAATGCAGATTTCAAGATTCCATTTTCAGAATTCTCATTTATTAGGTCTAGATGAGTTCTCTTTATTTTTATTTATTTATTTATTTATTGAGACAGAGTCTCACTTTGTCACCCTTGGTAGAGTGCTGTGGTGTCATAGCTTACAGCAACCTCAGACTCTGGGGCTCAAGTGATTCTCTTGCCTCTGTTTTTCATTTTCTTAGTAGAGACAGGGTCTCACTCTGGCTCAGGCTGGTTTCGAGCTCATGAGCTCAAGCAATCCACCCATCTTGGCCTCCCAGAGTGCTAGGATTACAGGTGTGAGCCACCATGCCCAGTGAGTTCTCTTTAGAGATGTTTAAAAACATCTATAGATAGGTTGCCCGTAGCTCAGTGGTTAGGTCGCTGGCCACATACTCCAGGGCTGGTGTGTTTGAACCTAGCCCGGGCCTGCTAAACAAACAAACAAACAAAATTAACTGGGTGTTGTGGCAGGTGCCTGTAGTCCTAGTTACACAGGGAGTTACTCAGGGAGGCTGAGGCAAGAGAATTGCTTGAGCCCAAGAGTTTGAGGTTGCTGTAAGCTATGACGCCATGGCACTATACCAAGGGCAACAAAATGAAACTCTGTCTCAATTAAAAAAAAAATCTATAGTTGACTATGAGGTAGGAACTTCATAAACAAAGTTTAAAAAAAAAGAAAAAGGAACTCAAATAGGTTGTTAAGGGCTGAACCAAAGTCACAGAGCTAATAGGAGGTAGAGGAGAGAGCATGTTTTGTTCCGAGACTAATTTGACCTTGTTTCAAACACTTCACAATGGTTTCTTTTTTCCTTTCTCAAGATGTTCACTCCACATGTTTATCTTCATTAGATACTTTCTTAACATTCCAGGAAGGTCCTAAGAAAACAATAAAAATAAATAAAATGACTACAGCAAAAGAATGATAGTGCTCCCCTGGGTAATCGCGCTGAAGTTTGCCCCCTGGGTAAGCATTAGCCTTAATCAACATTTCCTTCCCTCTACTATGTAGTTACTAGGAGATATGGCCGTGCTCCATTCCATTGGCTTCCCCTTCCTTGCCCATTTTTTTTTTTGAGTCAGAGTCTCACTCTGTCACCCTGGGCAGAGTATTGTGGCATCATTGCTTACACCAACATCAAACTCTTGGGCTCAAGTGGTCCTCTTGCCTCAGCCTCCTAAGTAGCTGGGACTACAGGCACCCGGATACAATGCCAGCTAGTTTTTCTATATTTAGAAGAGATGGGGGTCATGCTTTTGCTAAAGAGCCTCTCAACCAATTTTTAGATGGATCCTCCTGATCATCTTTGTAGTTGCCTCTGCCATTTTAACCAAAATGTATCACTCTATTCTGGGAGCAGAAAAACACCAACAAAACAAAACAAAATCTTAGTCTTCTCAAACCCTCCTCCCCCCACCTAGAGTCCTTCTGGTAAGAAGTTTAATCAGCTTATCTACTACCTGCTTCCCCATATTTAGGCCTCTAAAATTTAACAATACAACGTGACAGATGTTCCCTTCTCCCATGGAAGGACAGAAAAGCTTTATTTTTTATTTTGTAATTTCAGTTTAGTATGAGGAAACAAATGGTTAGGTTACATTGTTTGCCTTTGTTAGGTAAAGTCCAAGTTGTAGTTGTGCCCCTCACGCAGGAGGTGTGCCACCTACCCTTACTTTGTGCCTTTTAGGTGAGAGCACACCGATTCCTTTCTTTCCCCCCTGCCCTCAACTTGAGTTTAATTGTGTTTTCTCTTGTGTGGATGTGTAATGGTTTGTCTGCACTGGTTTCATACCAGTATTGAGTACACTGGATACTTGCTTTTCCATTCTTATGACACTTTCTTAAGTAGAATGTTCTTCAACTTCATCTAGGTGAATACAAAAGATGTAAAGTCTCCATCTTTTTATGGCTGAATAGTATTCTATGGTATTCACATACCACAGTTTATTAATCTATTCATTGGTTTTGGGCACTTGGGTTGATTCCACATCTTGGCAATTATAAATTGAGCTGCAATAAACATTCTAGTGCAAATGTCCTTATAGTAAAATGTTTTTTTTTCTTCTGGGTAGATACCTAGTAATGGGATTGCGGCATCAAATAGAGGGTCTCCTTTGAGTTCTCCATGTTTCTTTCCAAAGAGGCTGTATTAGTTTGCAGTCTCACCAAAAGTATAAAAGTGTTCCCTGAAGGAAAAGCATTTTTAAGGTATTGGTCAGTTTCAGCTACTCTTAGCTCATTTCCTGCCCTCTTGTAGGCAAACCTGAAGGCAAAGCTACAGACAAAGGCAAGCTGGCAGTGAAGAACACTGGGCTACAGCGCTCCTCTTCTGATGCTGGCCGAGATCGCCTGAGCGAAGCTAAGAAGCCCCCCTCGGGCATTGCTCGCCCCTCTACTTCAGGATCCTTTGGCTATAAGAAGCCTCCTCCGGCCACAGGCACAGCCACCGTCATGCAGACTGGTGGTTCAGCCACTCTCAGCAAGATCCAGAAGTCCTCGGGCATTCCTGTCAAGCCAGTGAATGGACGCAAGACTAGCTTGGATGTGTCCAACAGTGCAGAGCCAGGATTCCTGGCTCCTGGGGCCCGTACCAACATCCAGTACCGCAGCCTGCCCCGCCCAGCCAAGTCTAGTTCCATGAGTGTGACGGGTGGGCGGGGTGGACCTCGCCCTGTTAGCAGCAGCATTGACCCCAGTCTCCTCAGCACCAAACAGGCAGGCCTTACGCCCTCCAGACTGAAGGAGCCTACCAAGGTGGCCAGTGGGCGGACCACTCCAGCCCCTGTCAATCAGACAGATCGGGAGAAGGAGAAGGCCAAAGCTAAGGCGGTAGCCTTGGACTCTGACAACATTTCCTTGAAGAGCATTGGCTCCCCAGAAAGTACTCCTAAGAACCAAGCAAGCCACCCCCCAGCCACCAAGCTAGCAGAGCTGCCACCAACCCCTCTCAGGTACCCGAAGGGAGCGGCTTCCTCATGTCTGTCTGCTCTGTCATTCTTTTGCATATCCCTATCCCCCCTTGGACTAGGTGAGGCATGACCTATTCAGTCCTGTCTCTAGGACTTTGCATGAGTCTTTCCCCTCCCTTCCCCTACATGCCAAGCTTCTTCTCCCTGTTTTAAAACTGTGCTCAAAACGTAACCTTGTTTGTCCTATTTCCTGATCAACTCTTAATCCGTCTTCATCACTTGTTTGGGTGGTTTTATTATGTTTATATTTACACACATATACCCATGTGGATCTCCCATGTGCATATGCTATCTCCCTTATTAAAACTAAAAGTGCTTCAAGTTGGGTACTGGATTTCTTTCCAGTGGATTTCACACCCATCATTAGGATAAACCTCTGCATTCAGCAAATAGCAGAAAACAACGGGACAAGGATTTCTTTAAGGTCCCACTTGCCTCTCTTTTTGTAATTCTGTTGTCCTGAATATTTTGTTTTATCTTCATTTCTCTCAGGGCCACAGCTAAGAGCTTTGTCAAGCCACCCTCACTAGCCAATCTAGACAAGGTCAACTCCAACAGTCTGGATCTACCATCGTCCAGCGACACCCACGCTTCAAAGGTCCCAGATCTGCATGCTACAAGCTCAGCAACAGGGGGCCCTCTCCCTTCTTGCTTCACCCCCAGTCCAGCACCCATCCTCAATATTAACTCAGCCAGCTTCTCTCAGGGCCTGGAACTAATGAGTGGTTTCAGTGTCCCAAAGGAGACCCGCATGTACCCTAAACTCTCAGGCCTGCACAGGAGCATGGAGTCCCTCCAGATGCCAATGAGCCTGCCCAGTGCCTTCCCCAGCAGTACTCCCATCCCCACACCTGCTGCCCCTGCTGCTCCCCCAGAGGAGGAGACGGAAGAGCTGCCCTGGAGTGGAAGCCCCCGAACTGGGCAGTTGGACAGGTGAGTGGCTAAGGACAGAGCTGAGCCTGTCTCTGTACCTCAGGCTCATTTTTGTTCTAAGCAATACTGTCTTATATTTTACTACAGCTTTGTGACTTTTGAAATTTTTTCACAAGAATTATTAAGTAATTTCACTTGCTTCATAACAAGTCCATGAGATAGGTAGGATCTGTTCGGTTTTATTTTTAAATTATTATTCTCAGCTTGTAAATAGGGAAACCAGTGCACAAGGATATTAAATGACTTAACCAAGATCTCATGATTAGTTTAACCTATTACCCAAAGTTTTTGCTTCCTAGTCCAAACTCACCTCTTATATCACATCCTAGTTTTTATTGACCATAATATGATCTTTTTAAGTAGCTAACCACAACTTGATTCCTTCTATTTTGTTTTTTTTTTTTTTTTTGAGACAGAGTCTCAGTTTGTCACCCTTGGTAGAATGCCCTATGGCATCATAGCTCACAGCAACCTCAAACTCTTGGGTTCAAGCGATACCCTTGCCTCTGCCTCCCAAGTAGCTGGGACTACAGGTGCCCACCACAACACCCTCAGTCTCACTCTTGCTCAGGCTGGTCTTGAACTTCTGAGCTCAGACAGTCCACCTGCCTTGGCCTCCCAGAGTGGTAGGATTACAGGAATGAGCCACTGCACCCAGCCTCACACCTTGATTTCTAATAAAAGAAAACACATTTAACATTTCAGGTAAATTTCCCAGATTGTAAGCCCAGAAGCAGGCTGTGACTGTCTCTTTATTTTGTTTATATAGAGAGAGGGGTTTATAGTTTGAGATCCCGGGTCTAGAGTCTGCAGCTTTCACATCAGTGGTCCCAAACTCTAGTTCCTAAAATGGACCCACATGCTTCTCTTTTTGTTTTATTTCCACAGTAATCAGCGAGATCGGAACACTCTTCCCAAGAAAGGGCTCAGGTAACCCTTGTCTTTTCTTCTCTATACCTGAGGTTTCCAGTCTATCTGAAAAATCATAACTTGACCTGTCCCAGGCTCCAGCCATGAATTTAATGACCCTTTTAATCAAGTACCATCTAGTAACCCTGCCCAGGCTTAATATTCTGTGAGTCAACTTTTACAGCAAGTGTTCTTTTTTTGGTGACAGAGCAGAAGCAAGTTTGCACATGGAGATCATACCTGTATCAGCCTGTGTAGCCCAATCCTGTATGAACTTCATCTCTATAATTTTCTTCCCTCAAAGTATAGGTGAAAACAGCTTGCCTCAAGGGTCACCTTGCCCACTCAGATGTGGGCAAGAGGCAGGACATACTTGGTCCTGCACTGGTATGATATGACAGCACTGAGTTGTTCAGTTTGGGGGTGACCCCTGCAACTTGAAGCCCACACATGGAATCCTGAAGCTTAAGGCGGAGCTTCAGCGAAGAAGTTCTAATGCCTCCTCCATCATTGCTGCACCCCCCACCTCCGTGGCCACTGGGAGCCCTCATGGGAATGGCTGCTAGTCCTTCTGTGGCCTCCTGATGATCTGGGAAAGAATGCTGAGTCCCTCCCTACCCCTTTTCCCTGCTCAGGCAGCCCTGACTGCTCCCTCTTTTCCTTGTCTTGCTTTCAGAATCTCTTTGCTCTAGTTTAGTTCAGAGATTATCCACACCAACCCAACCTCTGATTGTGCTTTGTGGTTCTTCTGCTGCCTCCTACAGGTACCAGCTTCAGTCCCAGGAGGAGACAAAGGAGAGACGACACTCCCATACCATTGGTGGGCTGCCAGAATCCGATGACCAGTCAGAGCTGCCTTCTCCCCCTGCACTCTCCATGTCCTTGAGTGCTAAGGGCCAACTTACCAACATAGGTCAGTGTTTTCAGTGCACTCACTGCGGCATGGGATGAAGCAGGGGTCACCTTGCAAGGTGAAGCAAAGCAGGTGGGCTTTGGGTTTCATCTCGTATTTTGCTCACATTTATTGAGTTGTTTCGTGGTGCCTCAGTTTATCCACCCAAAATAATGTTGAAAGCAAAATGCTCCAAGATCCTAAACTGAAAAGCTGCCATTTGGCACAAGTTACAGGTCCTTACTGCAGCAGAGAGTCGGAATGATGGAGTGGAAAAGCCATAAAGTGAAGGCGAGAAATCAAAGCAGTGCAATTAGCAGCCTCAGTGAGCTGCCAGCAAGGAGCCACCACACCCAGAGCTACCAGGGCCAGCTAGTGAAAGGGTGATGCTAAAATGTCAGGCTGGTGGGAAGGAGGGAAAGGGTGTTGATTGCTAAGGATCTGCCTCCAAACTCAGATTCCCCAACTGCTCTGGCTGGGCCAAGGCCATCCTGGCCCTGGAGGCAGAGCTGAGTAAGAGGAGTCCCAGCCGCACCCTTTCTAAAGCCTAAAGAGAAAGAAAGGCTAGGAAAGAAGAAAGTGGCTCCTGACTCAGAGACAGGGAGGGGAAGAAGAAGCTTGGGGTAGAGGGCTTGGCCCCAGTACAGGAGTACACTAGCCTGGTTCTGGGAAGCAGTACACTATCACTGGCCTCACAGGAACTGTTCAGGACAGTGCCTGGGATAAGCCTCTTGTTTGCTTGCTGTATTTCTCTAAATCTATCTCTTCTTTTAGCTGAGTGAAAGAAAGTAGTTAATAAAAGACAAGGACCTATAACATGCCCATGTGATGACTGTGGGGAATATGAGGAAAGACTAGGGATTGGGATAGTTGAGCCCAGGAAAGAAGGGTCATCTGGCCTCTGAAGGGCTATTCCATGGAGGATGAGGCCAACTTGTTCCCCATCTCCACTGAGGATCAACCAAGGAGAAATGCATGTGTACTGCGGAATGAGGGACCTGGCTACCATAATCACCTTAGGGACTAGAAAAGGCCCAGAGAGAGGTGTGAATCTTCTTCTGCACAGGTCTTTACAGATAGATTAGACATCCACCTGTCTGTGTGGAAGTGAAATACTAGACAGGCTGCATGTGGGTGTGAACCCTGAAAAGCTGCAACCCCAGCAAGGGCAAAGGGGAAAGAGTTCTGCAGGTTAGCAGGAGTCAGCTGACATTGCATCAGCCTCACCTGATGTCTCACTTCCAAGCCAGGAGATTGCTAGGCAAAGAGGACCGTGTTTCTTGATGTGTTACAGCCAGCCCAGTACCCTAGAGGCCCAGTGCTCTGTGGGGAGACTCTTGCTCCCTTCCATAATGCTAAGCCTGCTGTATCCCATAGCCTAGCTCCCTTCTCTAGCTAGATCTTTTTCATCATTCGGATCTGAGTCTTGGTCTGAATCCTCTGTCCTCCCGAGCTGCTAGTTGTGTTGTAGAGAACCACAGCATCCCATTTCCATCAGCACATCCAAGCGATGTGAAGGTTTCGGAAAAGCTGCCAGGCCCCCAGCCTAACCTTCAAAAGCAATGACTCTAAGGCAGGCAGGGCTGAGGGAAGGTCTTTTCTCCAGACAGCAGGGTCCTTCCCCATCAGGGCCTGATATCCCTAGGAGGGACCCCGCTCCTAACCCCCAGCTGCTTGCACACTCCCACTGCCCCACCACCCCTTCCTCTTCTGCCCTCTCCTGTCTGCCTCTCATGCTCCTGCTGCTCCGCCCCCAAGGGACAGGAGAGCTGATGACCCTGCCTCTTTTCCTGCCCTCCCCCTCCCTCTCCTGTCCCCCTTCCCTCTGTCCTTCCAGTGAGTCCCACTGCGGCCACCACGCCAAGAATCACCCGCTCCAACAGCATCCCCACCCACGAGGCGGCCTTCGAGCTGTACAGCGGCTCCCAAATGGGGAGCACCCTGTCCCTGGCCGAGAGACCCAAGGGAATGATTCGGTCAGGATCCTTCCGAGACCCCACGGATGATGGTGAGACTTCATGCCAGCGCGGTTCACGCTCATTCCAGCTCTGCTGGGTCCCCTCACCCACTACCACTTCCGCTACCACCACTGCCACCACCACACACACGTATACGATTCACACAACATTGAGTTGGGCCATTTCAGTTCTTCCCATACCTTTGAAGAGTCTGGGGGCCCAGAAACCTTGGGTGGCACCATCTAGCTCTGGGAGTCTGGGTTGGAGCATCTGTCATTGGGGTTGGGGGAGGGAACTCGAGCATGGAAGGGTTAATGGTACCCCTCAGGATGCTCCGAAAACCACAGCTCAGCCTAGCAGTAGCCTTTCCTCCCACAGTCTCTCAGGATAAATGAAAAGATAAAAGGACATAGTGGTAGCTCTTAAATCCTCAAAAAGAAATAGGCATCTCATTCCTCTTTCAAGAATGTTCCAAAGATTAGCCTCAGGGAGGGCCATCTGATGCTTGGTGGTGATCTGGGTGTTAATGTTGATCAGAGCTAGACGACCAGGCTTATGGTAGATTAGATCTCCTGTTATTGTTTTCCAGACGGTCATTCCAGGAGGCATTCCTTTGCAGATGTGTTTTAGCTCTCTCTGTAGGCTGGATTGAATAATCAGACTGAGTATTCCTCATTTAAATGTTGTTTTCAACTGAATGGTCCCCAAGATCCCAGGCGAATCCCCCAGTGCTGAGAGGAGACGGGGCAGGGAGAATTGCAGTGTTGTGTTCTGAGCAGCTCTGATGAGGAACTCTCCTCTTGTGCAGCTAAAGTAACTCTCCTGACTGGGAAGATAGGATATCAACTCTCCATGAACACCACCTTTCCCTCTCTGAAACCCTATGCCCCTGAGCAAGGGAATGCCATACTTAGGCTGCCAGGGAATGCAGATGGAAAGAGGAGGCTCTCTCCACCCAGAGCCTCTTCTCCTCAGCAGATATCTGCCTGCTTGGGGCTAATGTGATCCCAGTTGGGTTCCCTATTCTGTTCTTTTCTGTTTGCTCCAGATACCCTCCAGAATCAGAATCCAAACTCCTGCCTTAGGGCTCTTCCCAGGACCTCTTGTCCCTGAAGCCCTCTGTTAACTGCTTGTGTTCTCTTTCTCTTTCAGTTCATGGCTCAGTGCTGTCCCTGGCCTCCAGCGCCTCCTCCACTTACTCCTCAGTAAGAGCACTGACTTCTCTTCCTCCCTCACCCCCTTGCCCCTCACCATTCCATACTCTAGACCAGGTGTCCTCAAACTACGGCCTGTGGGCCACATGCAGCCCGCCTAGGACATTTATCCGGCCCGCTGGGTGTTTTTGCCACCGCTGCCTATCCTGCTTAGCAGCTGACTCGTCCCAGGATGCACAGTCCGGACCTCCAACGGTCTGAGGGACAGTGAACTGGCCCCCTGTTTAAAAAGTTTGAGGATCCCTGCTCTAGTCCCTCCTCTGGTTGGGTAATGGGGTGGGGGATGGGGTCCTGCTATCTCTTCATTGCACTTTGTGGATCTGGGGTGGAAGTAGGGGAAGGTGCCTAGAGTTTGGAGCATTCAGTTGGGTGCCTCAGATCCTCAGTGGTCCTTCTGGCTTCCCTACCAACTCCTGAGCAACTTGTGATGATATTCATTCCCCTCCTTTGAAGCCGGGAGAATCCCCTGGTTATGGAAAGTATTATGGCAAGTGAGATGAGTAGGTTTCTTCGGCTCTAGAGCCTTGATAGTATACAGAACTGACCAAGTGTTCATTCTGGAGCACCAGCCACAGCATTTGGCTATTAGGTATTCCTTGATTCTTAGATTTGTTTTGTCCCTAATTCTTTACTCCAAGTTGCAAGTTGCTAGCAATAACAGTTTTCAGACCAACCAATGTTTCATTCTCCATGCCTTCTTGGCAATGACAAAGTTGGCTGGAGATGAGCTCCAGAGTAGTCTTTTATTGAAACCCTAGTATAAATCTGAGCTGAGTCCTGTGAGGAGCCAAGGCCAGGAAACAAGAGTTTCTGCCTCTCTGCACCTCTGAATCATGCTCCTTCCAGCTCTCTACCTTGCCAGTGGGGCCTGGCTTCTTCACCTCCGTAGTAACTACTTCCTTTCTGTCTCCTTTTCTCCTTCTGTGCTCCCTTCTTCAGGCTGAGGAGAGGATGCAATCTGAGGTAGGGTGCAAAAGCCTTTGTCTCTGCTTGTTAACACCACTATGCCCCATTTTCCTCCCAAGTCTTATACATCTTCTGCCACCAATAGTTTGTATTTCTCTTCCCTTCACAGCAAATCCGGAAGCTCCGTAGGGAACTGGAATCATCCCAGGAAAAAGTAGCCACCCTGACATCTCAGCTTTCTGCCAATGTGAGTGTCATGAAATAGGGAAAGACCCAGGTGGTTATTTGGGCCATAGTTCAGCCAAAGAAGGAAAATTATCTGATAAAAGTCTCCCCAGTGCTTAGCCTTCAAGGGAGTGGGTCTGCTTCACAGCCCTACAATAGAGAATGTGGGGATTGTCCTTCCCTTTCTCTGAGCTTCAGTTTTTATAAAGAACTCTTTTGCCTGCATTCTAATTAATAGGTATAGATGAGTTCATGTCTAACGGTCTTTGAGCTCCCTAAAGAGAGAAAAAAGGGTTGATTATCAGTGGTTCTGCATGGAGGTGGAAACAACCTTGCCATCGGCCATGGACAAAAATAGTTACGGATTATAATTATAGAGCCCTTTCAGCCCTTTTCCACCACTCTGGAGTGTGTTCATGTCTTTGCTCATCCCACATAACTGAGTAGGCACAGAATTGATCATTAGAATTCTGTCTGATGATCCCAACATTACTTAGAAACCTCAGTCCCATTCTAGTCTAACTCCTTCATTCCCAACTGCCTTTTCCTAGTAGTCTCCATGTGTAATTGGCAAAAATGGTCTGAGCTTTAGGTTGAGAGGTAGAATTCTTTGTTTCTACCCTCAGTCTGCTCTCAGTACCTCCATTTAGAGTGAATTTCTTTCCCTGGGCCTTGGTGATTCTACTCTGTGAGATGGGGAGAAATGAAGCCACCTCCTCTAACCAGACTGTGGTAGTTTCTCCCCTGCGACTGAGTTGTAAACAGAGAACATAAGAGCCCTTTTCCCCAAAAGCTGTAAACAACAGCTGAGCCGGATCTGCAGGAGCTTTCCAAGTGTTTGCACAAAAGTAACCATGTCTGCAATTTCCGCAGTAGTTTCTGGTTTTCTCTCTGCCCTTCCTCTCTGGGGAACCCAGCTGTCAGGCCTGGGGTCTATAGCCCTTGGAATTAGGTAGAAGAATCTCCACCAAGATCTTGCATGTTTCCAATACATTTCAGCAGCAGTTCCCTTACCACACTGGTTATTCTCTTTTCCCAAACCCACAGTTCATAAGTTGTATACTTAGCAGTTTGTTTGAAGCTTTATCAAGCACTTTTTTCCTCTCTTGGGGACACATAAGAATTGTAACATAAACAAGAACCATCTTCGCTCTAGCCTTGTGCCACACCCCCTAAGGCCAGTTGCCTGGGTCACGTCCTGCACACCCCAGGAAATTCATGTCTGGGAGATGCTGGGGGGAGAGGCGCCAGGGAGGCAAAGAACATTATTATGTCTGATTCATTTACACTGCAATCTGTCAGCCATCGTGCTGTCAAGGCTGGGCTAGAGCCAAGAAAATGAATTTAGAGGGTGATTTTTCTTAGAATAGGAAGTTTCATTTGGCTAAGAGAGAACAAACTGAACACCCAGACATGGTGGGTTCTGAATCTTAAAGGCAGATTTCTGCTGAGGGTCAAAACCCTGCCCTCAAGCAGGAGATGTTATGCCAGGACTCTGGCATCTGTCTTCAGGATCCCCTGATTCTCAACCAAACTTCTGTCATGTTCTATGGAACCTCCTAGCTACTGAAGCTGAGGGCACAACCCGATACAAAGAGGTTCCAGAGCACTTTACCCCTCTTAAATGCTGCTCCTCTACAGCACCACTGCTGTGCCCTGAGGTCTTACAGGTACCCTAGTCTTAGGTTGGGACTAGGGGAAGGTTCATAGGAGGGAGAGCAAATGTAGGAGATGAGGGGTGGTGGGGGGAGAAGCTTAGCCAGACCAGGAGGGACCCAGATGAAGACAGGCCAGCACAGACAAGCACACAGGGGTTCTCAGTTCCCTCATGGGTAGACTTCCAGGGACTAGAAGCAATCTGTGTATAGACATGTGGGAATATAGAGAAGCAAACAAGAAGACCTGAGGTCCCGAAGACAGAAGTTCCCTGCACAGTAGGTGAAAGGAACTGCTCGGGTCATGGCATATATGAGCCTGGGTCTGGACAGATTTATAGGAAAAGTAGAAGAGGAGTCTCAGAGGGGACCAAAGGGGTTGCCTCCAACCATGTTTCAAGTTCAGTGAATGAAAAATAGAATTGACCCAAGAGGGAGAGAGAATCATAAGCCATGAGGAACAGTGAGAATGTCACAGGCGCCCTGGAGCTCTGCATGAAGGAGCTGCCCAGAATATGTCCATCACTTCCTGATAGGGTCACCAGCTCACTTGGACACCCTTACGATGGCTGTTTCTCCATCTCCAAGTGTTCTCTCCAGCCCCAACCCTCATTCCTTTCACCTTGCCTAGACAGCTTGCTGCCAGTTGGCCAGCTAGAATTCAAACCATGCTCCAAGTGGCCTCAAGCCGGGCTGTTTCCAGCACCTTTCAGAGCCAGCCTGCTTCTTATCCAGAGGGCCCTTCCAGCCTCACACCTCGTGAAACAGACCTGCCACCTACTGGCCAAACTGTGGAATGCCACTGAGGTTTCTTGAACGGCTCCTCTCTCGCCCTGCAGAGTAGAGCTTGAAGAAACAGGAGCCATGGAGCAGCTCCAGAGAGCGAGTTAAACAATGAAGGGCTGCCAGTTTGCACGGGGAGCTGATCTGGTCCCCTGGGGCCCAGCCCACTCCACAGTGGAGGCATTAAACCAAAATAATAGCAACCACCCCAGAGGTATGGCCCTCCTACCAAGCCTGTTGCCTGCATACTGTGTACTTAGAGCACAGGGACAATCCCAGCTCTGATAGATCCCAGGTACTAGATCTCAAGCTTCCAAGAGCCTCCAAACACTTGCTGTACCCTCAAGCTGGCTTCATTATTCAAGAAGCTGATTTCTTTTTTTTTTGAGACAGAGCCTCAAGCTGTCCCCCTGGGTAGAGTGCCGTGGCTTTACAGCTCACAGCAACCTCCAACTCCTGGGCTCAAGCGAGTCTCCTGCCTCCGCCTCCCAAGTAGCTGGGACCACAGGCACCCGCCACAACGCCCGGCTATTTTTTGGTTGCAGCCGTCATTGTTGTTTGGCGGGTCCAGGCTGGGGATTCGAACCTGCCACCTTAGGTGTACGTGGCTGGCGCCAGCCGGTTGAGCTATAGGCGCTGAGCCAAGAAGCTGATTTCTGCCAGAATTTTTTTTTGTTTTGATTCCTACTTGTCTGCTCAGGGAAATCAATATTTAAAAATCATCAGGAGGCTATCTGGCTTTGGTCAGCTCTGAGACACAGAAAACAAGTTGAAACTACTTCCCATTATCAGTTGTTCCATTTCCCCAACCACTTAGGAAACTCCTTGTGTTTGTCTCAGGCTAATCTGGTGGCTGCTTTTGAGCAGAGCCTGGTGAACATGACATCCCGCCTGCGACACCTGGCAGAGACAGCAGAGGAGAAGGTGAGAGTCCTGGGAAGGGGAGCCCGGGTGCATTCAGGGGATTCTCCTGGACAAACAGGTTGAGACAGAGTCAGGAGACCCTTACTGTCACGTGGATCCTCAGCCTGCCCTCAGTTCAGTGAGCACCTATCCTTTGTCATGGTTCCCTGTTCTTCTCTATCCAGTCTAGTGGGATCCCCATGCCTCGCCCACTGACAGGCTCCCATATTGTCAGTACTCTACTAATCCCAACTCCTGACTTTATTTTCATTTCTCTCTTAGGACACTGAGCTGCTGGATTTGCGAGAAACCATAGACTTTCTGAAGAAAAAGAACTCTGAGGCCCAGGCAGTCATTCAGGGAGCCCTTAATGCCTCAGAAACCACACCCAAAGGTAGTACATCCAGCCACAAATTGAAAGAGAACAGAAATGGGGTGAAAAAAAATATTACTGCAGATTTTTTTTCTGGGCCTGCCATATGTCAGGTCCCTTATCAAATTTCTAGAAAGTGAGGGCTCTTAGATACCCTTGAGTGTGATGTCTGGACTGGTCAGTAAGGATCGTCAGGGGCATGATCCCACCATCCCAGGGCATGAGGGCAAGTAGAAGAGCTGGGAGCCCTGTAATCTCCATGGGCCCCCTCCCCACCCAACCTTTAGGTCAGAGCCAAAGAGCTGTCAGAAGCGAACATTAAAATAGCACTTTACATTTCCATACAAATGTGTATCCACACACATACATATAATCTTATTTGATCCTCACTTCACTTCTCCAAAGCAATGCTTAATCTACTCTTCAAATATGACCAAAGTTCACGTGGTTACATTGGGCCCAGATTGGCCTTGCTTTTCGTTTAGCAAGCAGTCAAGTTTTGTTACAGAAAGTCAAGTGGAGTGCTTGCCTCAGATCATAGAGTCTACGATCTCTAACTCCAGTCAGACCCTCAAAGAGGTTGGCAGTTCTCTTAGTTGTCCATAGTTAGTTTTATTTTTTATTTTTCCGTCAATAATTCCCAAGGTTCATCATTTTTCTTAAGCCCCTTCTCCCAACACTGACTTGCCTCACTGTGAACGTAGCCTTTGTCCCCTTCTTAGTTAAGAAGATGAACATCATCTAGTGAGAATTCCATTGACTTTTCCCCACTCCATTAATCTATAATTCATCCAATCCTTATTTGTCTCTCATTTTGTAGGAAGGAGCTATTTCTATGGCCCTTATCTAATGCTTTGGGATGCTCCCTCTAGTGATTATACACCACCCACACTCTCTCTTTTCCACCTATCTGACCACTTATTCTCTATTCACTCCTCCCCTGCTTATATATCTACAAAAGCTTTTATGCTTTCCCCTTAGAGGGCAAAAACATATCAACCTATGTTCCTTCCAAGTATAACCTTATCTCTTTCCTTTCATCATAATCAACCCTACCTTTCCACCTCACCCCCGATAATTATCATTCTGTCATCATCACCTATCAAAGCCACTTTCACTAAAGTCACAAGTTACCCCCACTTTTTCCAAAACCCAACTTAAAATTTTTAGTATTTATTTTATTTGACTTCTATAAAATGGAGATGATAATACCTAATCAGAAATGTGTTGAATGTCAATTTGTTGACATTTACCACAGTTTTAGACATGTGATAGGTACCCAAAAAATGCCTCTTGGTCAGGTGCAATGGCTCATACCTCTAATTCTAGCACTCTAGGAGGCCAAGGAGGGAGGATTGCTTGAGGCCAGGAGTTGGAGGGTGCACAAGCTATGATGACACCACTATACTCCAGCCCAGTCAATATAGCAAGACCCTGTCTCAAAAAAACAACAGGCCCTGTGGGGTGACTCACCCCTGTAATCCCAGCATTCTGAGAGGCCAAGGCAGGAGGATCACTTGAGCTCAAGAGTTTGAGACCGGCCTGAGCAAAGCAAGACCTTATCTCTACTAAAAATAGAAAAATTCGCCAGGCACTATGGCAGGTGCCTATAGTCCTAGTTACTGCCAAGGATGAGGCAGGAGCATCACTTAAACCTAGGAATTGAAGGTTGCTATGAATTGGGGGTAGGCCTTGGCACTCTAGCCCAAGTGACAGAGCAAGACTCTGTCTCAATCAGTCAATCAATTAAAGTCATGGCTCTCCATTCCACTACACAAAAGCCAACCCTTTCCCTTCTGCAGTTTTGCCCATCTCAGGTATTATCATCTGCCTGGTAACCCAAGTCACTCATGTGACAGTCATCTTTGACTTCTCACCGTTTCACTCCATATAGTAATTTACTTCTACCTCCAAAACAGATCTCAATTCTATCCATCTATCATTACTGTGGCTCAGGTTTTCATCATTCTTCTCCTGGATTATTGCAGTGATTTCCTAACAGGTCTTGCCTTGCTCCAGTGCTTCCTTTACACTGCCTATAGAGTAACCCAATTATGTTAGTGAAGATAAGATACTGTGCCAATCTGAATATGGACTAAATATAGGATGAAAAGTATTACTGTTAATTTTCTTAGGTGTGATAATAACATTATGGGAAAATGTCCGTATTTTCTTAAATAGTGCATTCTGAAGCATTTAGTGGTAGAATGTCATGTCTGAAATATTTAGACTATTCAAAAAATTATGAAAGAGGGAGGAGAGAGAGTATGCAAATATAACAGAATACTAACAATTATTGAATTAGATAGAAGGCATATGGGTGACACTGTACTATGCTTTAAGTTTTTCTGTGTGCTAGAAACATTTCAGAAGAACAAGTTAAATGGGAAGAGAATACATTCCTAACCTGCCAGCATGGCTTCCTATCCTGCTCCAGGACTTGCCTCTAGGACTTTCTTCTGTCACTTCTCCCGCACACTCTATTCCATCTACAGTAGTGGTAACAGACAGTATTTATTGAGCACTTGCTATATTCTAGGTACTTTTCTAAGCACTCTACTTACATTAATTCACTTATTCCCAATGATAACCCAATAAAGCTTTATTTTATAGGTGAAGAGACTAAGACCAGAGAAAATAAGTAACTTGATCAAACACAGCTCATAAGTGATGGATCTGTGATATTCAACTATTTCTGGTTTGCCAAGTAGACTTTGCCTTTCAGATATATATTGGTTGAATTGTAGTTTTTGCTATTTTTCATGTCATCCTCAGTTCACATCCATCCAGGCTCAGCTTGGTCAGGAGGATTTCTAGAAGCATCATAAGAGCTAATACTTAAGCAATGCTGCCTAACTCTGCTTTATTTTATAAGTAGGCTGTAAATATACATGGTACAAAATTCAAAACACAGAAAAGATTTCCTAAATTTGTGAAGATTATTTGATTCTATAACGTATCTTTTGCTCTTAAAAGTACTATGTTTGGCTCGGCGCCTATAGCTCAACCGGCTAAGGCGCCAGCCACGTACACCTAAGGTGGCAGGTTCAAATCCCCAGCCCGGACCCGCCAAACAACAATG